CATTCTAGCTTCTCTCACCTGAAGATTGGCTCTAAAAAGTCAAGAATCTGAGAAGAAGAAGAAGAAGGAGAAGAAGAAGAAATATCCTCCAAAGCTTGACTCTTGAACTTCAATCCTCCAAAAACAAGCTTTATAGTATGAAATTCAAGAGAAGATATAAGACATCAGTGATCTAGAGGAGAAGAAGAATCAGACAGAGAAATTTGAGAGAGAAAGGAGCTCACAGACCTAGAGTCCTTCTCTCTAGAAATTCTCTCTAAAACCTCTCATTCTCCTTAACTGCCCACAAGTCCTATTTATAAAAGTTCAAGAGTGGTCAGAACGACCCTTTTCGGATCTGGAACGGCCCGTTCTGCACTCACTCATCATGTGTAAAACTTCACACATCTAGAATGACCCATTCTTAAACCAGAACGACCCATTTTGGAGTTGAGTTTTACTCACAACGACCACTTTTGGAACGGTTCGTTCCAGATTGGGAACACCCCGTTCCAGTTTGGGAACGCCCGGTTCTCAACTAGGATTTATAGGCCCATTTAGTAGTTTGGAACGACCCCGTTCTAGTCTACTAATTACGTCACAGCCTCCAAAGATCCCCCTTGTCATCCAGCCCCCAAAGTGCTCAATCATTTGTAAACGACTCAGGCCTTTCAAAAGAGCCTATTCATTTTCAAACGACTTAGCCCTTTGCCTTCAAAGATTCCCCTTGTCATGTGGCCCCCAAAGCGCTCAGCCGTTTCCAAACAGCTCATCCCTTTCAAAAGCATTCAACCATTTGAAAACGACTTATCTCTTTGCCTCTAGAGATCCCCATTGTCATGTAGCCCCAAAGCGCTCAATCGTTTCTAAATGGCTTAGCCCTTTGGTGACATAAGCATCCCTGTTCTTCACCATTTTTTGACCTCTACACTTGAAACTCATAAAAATTCAACATGAAATAAAAGAAATATCCCTCATGCACAAAAAATAGCTCAATTCAAGTATTAAAAACAACATGCAACCATAAATTTTCCCCAAGATCATCAATTCACCTCACATGCATCAAAGCCTCAAAACCCTTAATATTCAACATGCAACCTGTTGAATCCATCTCCAGAACTGTATATTTCGAAGATTTTATCAACAATAAGCTTTTAATTCATTCAATAGTTTAATGATTCAACCAACATCCAATGTTTTAGCTTCATTTACCTCGGAACGAAGTGAGACCGAAAAACTTTGAGGTAGAAGAAGAATGATCGGCTCCACACGAATTTAATAGCTTGATTTGAGGTTTCCACTACCTGATTCACAACAACACCACTTAGAAGAGAATTGAGAAGAATAAGAGATGAAGATTAAGAGAAAAATAGCTCATGGACCAGAGACTTTCTCTCTACAATCCTCTTTTTAGAAAGTTGAGAAAAATAATTTATGAGGTTCTATTCAAAACAAAACCTTATATACTTTTTTTCTCTCGAATCAAACTGAGTGTCTGCGTAGAAAACTTTATCTCAAATTAGTTCTCACATAAATGATGTAATGCTAATTAAATAAATCACTAACAAATTATAGGTTTAATGGTTATGCATGCACTATCAACATATTTTTTACGTCGACAAATATCACAAGGCTTAACAAAATCTTGGATTCATGCCCACTCAATACAATTGTTTTACTTTTTTTAGAATATCACAAGTCTTCGTGTTTTAGAATTTTGTTTTACTTTCATTTTTAGCTTTTTAAATTTATTCTCATTTTGATGATACTGTCTTGGCGAAACATATTGATTTTTCATATTTTGATGATTTAAAGTTTTCAAGCCATGACAAACTAAGTGCATTCAATTATACCAATGTAGGCATACATGTATTCTTCAAAAGTCTATAAAATTAACTTTGTTTGATATTTTTTTATCTGATAAATATTTATTTTATCCAAAATAAGTATAAAAACTATTACACTATCGATCAATAAAAATATGATTTTTATGATGATTATTTTAGAAATTATTAAATTTACTGTAATGATGATTTATAATTAGATGCTAGAGTGTTTAACTTTTTTTTTTCTTCATAAATTATTATTATTAAGAGCTAGTTATCAGGACTAATATCCTACCATTTATTAACATATTAGTTAAAATTAGCGAACGAATTGAATTCGGTCGCTAAATATAACTAATATTTAGCAACAGAATTTAATTCGGTCGCTAAATCAGAAATTTTGATTTTTTTAACGACGTAATTAAATTCAGTCGCTAAATATTAGTTAAAATTAGTGACGAAATTGAATTAGGTCTCTATATCAGAAAGTTTGATTTTTTTAGCGACAAAATTAAATTTGATCGCTAAATATTAGTTATAATTAGTGATGTAATTCTATTCGGTTGCTAAATATTAGTTAAAATTAGCAACGAAATTCTATTCGGTCGGTAAATATTAGTTAAAATTAGCGAAGAAATTCTATTCGGCCACTAAGTAAAACTCAAAAAAAGTTATAAATTGCTTAAAAGTAATGATAATATTTTTGTTGAGTATCAATCCCATTTTCTTTATTTTTTGTAAGAGCAAGACATTAATTTATATTAAAAAAAATATTTATATGCACTCCTACATAATTAATACCAATAGTTATTTATGTGAAAAAATATTTAGAGGTTTTTTTTTACGATTGGATTTTTAGGCAATTTTTTAATTAGAGTATATGAATTTTAAAATTTCTTATTTATTTTGATCCATATTTATAATATATATTTCTAACTTATGATAACTTTATTTTTAAATGAATTTTTATATTTAAATTTTAAATTAGTATTTTATTAATGGTTGATAATTAGAAAATAAAACAAGGATAAATACATTTTTTGAATTTTATATCTTAGATTTAAGATGAATAAATATATTAAGTTAATTAATAATTTATTTAAAATGTTAAAATTTAATTTATAAAAATAATATTTTAAAAGAGAAGGGTTATAATAACATCGGTGTAACTTTTACTAAGTATTACATCGCTCAATAACTTTATATTAAATGTGAATTTTATAAATTCAACCGTTAGATTGAAAGTTTTTTACTCTTAGATCATATATACAAAATCTTATATGAATTCAAGATGATTTGATACTTCATTCTTGTAAAACAAAATTGACGTAATATATACATTTCAAATAAAATATGAGCACTTTGATTACTTTTAAGTTGTTGTTTAATTTTAACAAAAATTGATATAAACATATAAAGTGATATGAACTTTCAATCTATCGGTTGGATTTACAAAATTCACATTTAATATAAATTTATTGAGCGGTGTAATACTTAGTAAAAGTTATACCAGTGTTATTATAACCCTTCTCATTTTAAAATATATAAATTATTACTTAAACTTTTAAATTTATAATAAATAATTTAAATTGTATCATAAAATTAATTTTAAATAGAAATAAGTAGATTGTTAATTATAAAAGTAAGTATATATATAAATAAAGATTAATTAAATATAATATAATAATTATTATTAGTAATATAATTATTATATATATTATTATATATTTATAACGGTCCAGATATACCAAAATGACAAGGATCCAAAAATAATATAAGTATGAGATTGGATAGTTGAGGATGACTTAAATGAATTAATTTGTACTACTTATACTAACAACATGCATTTACTTTTCGGTAGCTTATCTCATAAGAACTTCACAGTTAAGCGTGCTTGATTTAGAGTAATATAGGGATGGGTGACCTTCTGGGATGTTTTCAAAAATTTAATCAAATAAAAAATAAATATTTAGCGACCGATTTATTCGGTCACTAATTTGGTCCCATACACCAAAATCATTTCAACCATTTAGTGACCGAATTAGCGACCGAAAAATTTTCAGTCGCTAAATAGCTTAGCGACCAGGGTTTTAGCAACTAATTAAATTCGGTCGCTAAGGTAAATAGCGACCGATTTTGGTGGTCGCTAAATTGCATATTTTTTGTAGTGCTATAAATTCAAACTACCAATGTAATAGAGGCCTTTCTCTTTAAGAATAACGCTTTACATGATTCAACCCAGATTACTCTAACTTTTTTATTTCTTAATTTAATTTACTCTTTGTGTTTATTTGGTTGTTACTAATTGCTTTGTTTTTGATTTTCAAGTATTCATTATGTTGTCGATATTGCCTTTTATGATAAATTTAATCATTAATTTATTTGTACTTTATTAATATATTTCTAACATTTAATACATGCAATAAAAGGGTTTGTATGTCTCATCAACCGTACAAACTCATTCCATATAATAAGGAATAAGTTCACAAATGTAACATCTCAAGTTTTCAAAAATTATTAAACATATATTTTGATTACTTAAAATGATTTTATGAAGTATTTTACTGACTTTTAATAATTATGAGTTTTAATAAATGTTTGCGAAATTGTTTCATATAATATTTATTAGATAAATATGTATTTTTATGATATTTTATTAAAAAAAGTATTGGGAGAAAATATATGTTTTAATTACCTATGTAATTATATTATTTTGGAAAATAGGTATTTTATGGTATTTTAATATATATTGTTAATTACTATTGTTGTAGATATACCAAAATGACAAGGATCCAAAAATAATATAAGTATGAGATTGGATAGTTGAGGATGACTTAAATGAATTAATTTGTACTACTTATACTAACAACATGCATTTACTTTTCGGTAGCTTATCTCATAAGAACTTCACAGTTAAGCGTGCTTGATTTAGAGTAATATAGGGATGGGTGACCTTCTGGGATGTTTTCAAAAATTTAATCAAATAAAAAATAAATATTTAGCGACCGATTTATTCGGTCACTAATTTGGTCCCATACACCAAAATCATTTCAACCATTTAGTGACCGAATTAGCGACCGAAAAATTTTCAGTCGCTAATTAAGATATATGCGTTATGCCCTCGCTCATCACTAGCCTACTGCTCTTCTCACTGCTTTGCATGTTGCTGCTGATCCCAAGGGTTTTAAATCCGCCATGAAGCATCCTCAATGGTTGGCAACAATGGAGGATGAGATCTCTGCTCTTCATAACAATCATACTGGGACCTTAGTCCCTCGTCTATCTGCTCCTAATATTGTTGGTAGTAAATGGGTTTTTCGTACCAAACACAAAAGTGACAGCACTATTGAGCGCTTAAAAGCGCGTTTGGTGGCTCAAGGTTTCACGCAAATTCCAGGTTTTGATTACTCACTCACTTTCAGTCCGGTTGTCAAGGCTACTACTATTCGTCTTATTTTATCACTTGCCGTGCTTAATGGCTGGCCACTTCATCAGTTGGATGTAAAAAATGCTTTTCTTCATGGCCACCTCACTGAAATTGTCTATATGGAACAACCTCCTGGCTTTGTTGATCCTCGTTTTCCGACTCATGTCTGCCGGTTGAACAAGGCTCTCTATGGGCTCAAACAGGCGCCCCGTGCTTGGTTTCAACGTTTGAGCTCTTTTCTGATGCGCTCTGGTTTTATTTGCAGCAGGGCTGATCCATCCTTGTTCTTCTTCTATCGCGGGCGCATCACTCTCTACCTCTTGGTTTATGTGGATGATATTATTCTTACTGGAAGTGATCCCCCCTTTCTCACTCAATTTATTGCTCGTCTTAATGCTGAGTTTGCAATTAAATATCTAGGAAAGCTTGGCTACTTCCTTGGTCTTGAGATCACTTATACTGCCGATGGTTTGTTCTTGGGACAAGCCAAATATGCTCATGATCTGCTTTCCCGAGCTATGATGCTTGAGGCCAAACCTGTCTCGACCCCATTGGCTGCCGGTTTTCATCTTGTCAGTGATGGAGTGGCTTACTCTGATCCAACTCAGTACCGCTCTTTGGTTGGGGCCTTACAATACTTAACCATTACTCGCCTTGATTTATCATATGCCGTCAACACGGTAAGTCAATTTCTCCAGGCTCCTACTATTGATCATTTTCAAGCTGTCAAACATATTCTCCGTTATGTTTGTGGTACACAACATTTTGGACTTACGTTTCGCAGCTCACCTTCTCCCGCGGTTCTTGGTTATAGTGATGCTGATTGGGCTCGCTGCACGGACACTCGTCGGTCTACCTATGGCTATGCTATCTTTCTTGGTGACAATCTCTTGTCTTAGAGTGCCAAGAAACAACCTACTGTTGCTCGCTCTAGTTGTGAATCTGAGTACAGGGCCATGGCCAACACAGCTTCTGAACTTGTTTGGTTGCTCAATCTCCTTCGTGAACTTCGTGTTGGGTTGTCTGCGACTCCTCTCCTTCTCAGTGATAATCAAAGTGCATTGTTTATGGCTCAGAATCCTGTCGCTCATAAGCATGCTAAGCATATTGATTTGGATTGTCACTTCATCCGTGAGTTAGTTGCCTCTGGTTGCTTGGCTGTTCGCCATGTTCCTACTTCTCTACAACTTGCTGATATTTTTACAAAGGCGTTGCCTCGTCCGTTGTTTGAATTGTTTCGATCTAAGCTTCATGTTGGTCTCAATCCAACGCTTAGCTTGACGGGGGGTGTTAAGAGCTAGTTATCAGGACTAATATCCTACCATTTATTCTCTCATTATTAATATGTAATTTCTTGTTTTACATTGTAATCTTTTTCCTTTAAATCATATTGATTGCCTCACACAAATTGTGATGAGATTTATCACATCTTACAATTATATTATATGATATAAATAAATTAGCATGAATTTAATAGTCATCACTTGGCTGGCTGAGGTCACTCTACTTGCCGAGGAGGAAATGTAAATTCTTGCTTCTTCCTTTTGAATACCGAGAAAAGTTATTTTATGAAAAAAATCTATTCTATTATAAATAAAATAAAATAAGACTCATAAAACAAATTTTTGATTAAAGATACTAACAACACTAAATACAAGTTTAATGATATAAAAAAATATGTTTTGTCACTTGGAACACCCATAGCATGACATAATCAAAGAAAAAAGAAAAAAAATGTGTATTTTACCATTTCCTTACCCGCGCCTCCTCCATCGCAGGGTTCCACAGTTCCAGCGCCAATGACATGTGTCACTCCCTTGATGAAAACCCAAAACCCTACGAAAATTGTGTCACCATCGTTTCATAAGCGTAATAATTAAAATATAAAAGAGAAATAGCGTATTCTTTTCTGTTCTATTCTATTCGATTCGAAACTCGCACTCGCTCTCCCTCTTTTCTCTCTCTGCTTTCTTCCTTCGTCCACGTCGATCCTCGTCCGAATCACTATAACCTTCGCATACAAGACGCTAAAACACCAGATTCGATTGGTATTTGGTTTCAGTGGAATCAAATACGAATATTAATGTTGCAACGGCGAAGCTAATTCTCCAGCAATGTTTGAAGGACTGGTTCATCAGTTGCTACTGGGTTACCTTGGACGATATTTCAAAGATATCCAGAAAGAGCAGCTGAAGATTAGGCTTGGTATGTTACTCACTCGTACTGCTTTTTTTTACTAATTATCTTCCCTATTTGCTTTAATATGTTTACATTTTTGGAGCATTGATGCTTATCTAAATCGTGGCTTTAAACTTTTACATGTAATTAGCTATGAAATATGTTTCACAGTTCACACTGTGGTTTACATTGATGCCATTGCTGTTGCTCCTTGTTTTTGCTGAAGTTAATTTGAGTGGGAACTTGTTTTCGTCTGTCAATAATAAGTGTCAATAAGTTGGTTCTCTGATAATATTTGCATTAAAATATTGCTTCGATGTCAAATTTTTACCTCAAATCAGTCCTTTGGAAAGGTGAATTTGATGTCAAAACAGGTTATTGAAGGACCTGTTTGATTTCAGAAGTTGGTACGGAAGAATCGTTATGATGTGTTTCACTATTTATTGTTGGAGGACCAAAGTGATAACTGATAACACCTGTATCTTTGAAGGGCCAAAAAGGAAGTACACTTGTGTTAATTAAGTTAGTTTGCGAACCAGTTTTAGTGACAATGCACCCCTGCCAGTCTTACAATGACAAAAGGATGTAAAGTTTCCTAAATGTAACTGTTTTTTTTTGTTGACCTTATGAACATTTGAATTTCAGTAGGTATGCATGTTTGTTTAATTATGTTCAATGTGTACTTTGACTCAATAGTTATCGGAATCTTTTGATTAATTATTCAACTCATGTTTTGACGCAATTCGGCAAGCTGCCAGTTCATAATTCATATCATAAGAATTTCAAATGACTTTAAATCTTACGATATATGAATGAATCAGTGTAATTTTGTATCATCTATACAAATTATACAATTCAACAATTTGTTAGTTTTTTTTTCCACGATTCTCATGAGAGAAATTGAATAGTCATATGAACTTAAATTGTTAAAGGAATTAAAGGAGCACGACCGAGCCTGTATTTATCCTATATTCCTATTTTATTATTTCGCTACTTTATTTGTGACTCATCCATTCAATGGATACACTTTATTTGGTTTCACATGCTTAGATATAACTAATAATTTTGTTTTATGAGACCTATGGTTAAGTATTTTTATGACTTTATCTATTTATTTATATTGAACACTATATTTCATCTATATAATATGTTCGAAGTTGTATTTCATTGTCTTTGAATCCTATGATTCATAATTCAAAATTTACCTTGGCGATTCATGTTTTGAATCTCAATTTGATAACAAGTTTGACTATATGCATGCTGTGCTTCCATTTGGCTATTTTATTGTAATTTACAAATCTTATTAATCATAAGTACTTATACTTTAAATGAAGTTTTTTGGTGAACTGTTTTTGAGTTGACATTTATTGTTGCACAGAGGAAGTACTGTTGGAGAATGTGGAGCTGATACTTGACGCGTTTGATTATCTCCAGCTTCCATTTGCACTAAAGCAAGGTATATCAACTTCATCCTCCTACAGACATTTAACTAAGTTCTTCCATATATAACTATTTTGGGATTGAAGCCAAAATCTATTAATGAAGAAAAGTTATACAAAGATAGGAGGATAATATTTACTCCACAAGACAGCTAATAAAAGAGAAAATTACTGTGAACCAGAAAGCAGAAATCAAGAGTAACGGTGCTTAATAACAGCCTAACACCCTGATCTCTGCAAATGAAATGGCAACCCCATAAAAAGACCTTGAGCAGAACACCAAGGAGAAGCCAAAACTTTATCCTTTCCCACATATAGATTTCAAAAGACCTCGGAAAACCTGAGCAATCCTTTCCACCTTTACGCACCGCAGAACAGAAAATGCAGCTCATTTCCAAAAATAACTGAACCTTGTTCACTCTCTACTTCTTCCATTTATAATTACACTGTTTATTTTATTTTATTTATTTTTTATTTTATTTTTTCTGATGAAATGGTGGATTGAAAGAGATGGATGGAAAAATTCCTGTGCAGAGGAGCTCCCATTATTTTTCTTTCCTAACGAAGCTTGAAATTTTTGGCTAGGTCGAGTTGGGAAGTTAAGCATAAAAATACCATGGAAAAAGCCTTGGGACCCCATCATAATCATTTTAGAAGATGTCTTTATTTTTGCATCACAGCGAGGTGATCAAGAGGTACTTCTTAATTCCATCATTCTGTGTCTAAGCTTCTGTTTCAAAAGCTTTGACAACCTATACCTGATGACATAAACCATTAATGAAATTAACAAAGAGCAAAGAAATTTCAGATTATCAGTCATATCATTTGCAGCCAAATTATTTTGTTATGTACTATATTTATTATTATTATTATTATATGGTTTATTAGCAATCCTATGTTGTTGTAATAGTGGAGTGCTGATGCTGTTGAAAAAAGAGAATTTGCTGGAAAAAAGGCCAAGCTAGCAGCAGCGGAGTTGGGAAAATTATCCAGACGTGTGAGTGGTAAGCCATTTAACTTCAATTTAAAGTGTTTTCCTTGGGTCCTATGTTCAAGCATATTTTAATCATTTCTCTGAAAGAAAGCAAAATGGAACATTGGGCCCTGGAGATTTTCATTATCAATATCCAAACAGGGCTTTGACTCTTAGAATAACTTGATTTGAGAGATAGGAAATTGATTCAGAACTTCAATAGAAGACATCAATAGGGGTTTATCTCTGTATTCAAAGAAGGTAAAAGTGATTTTTTTTCCTGTTCTGCTGTATGATGTCAATCCATAAGTTCCAACCACTTGATGAAGCTCCATCTACCTCTACCTGTGGCTACTGGCTACACTGTCTTGGGGGTAAGGTTGTGTACATCTACCATCCTCAACCCTTGCTAGTGGGAGCCTCATGCACTGTGTTTTCTTTTTATTCTTTACTTAACATTGACGATTGACCTCCTCTCCGGGTTGTGCCACGGTAAGATTCCTTGCCAATTTCAACTTATTTGAGCAATCAATCTTTTGTAAGGACTCCTCTTTTTTTAAGCTTAGGTTCTCAATACAGTGAAGGGATTTCAATTTCTTCAATTATATAAAATGTATCCAGCCCTACTACCCTAGTAATTCCTTCTCACCCAGGAATGAGTAGTGATCAATCCACATGTTGTCATAGAAGATGGGTGCCAGAAATCTCTATTGTTTATTGTCTAATCTGTTTGTTTGGTTTATATTCCTATAAAAAAATGATTTGGAAACATTTTTTTTTTCTTTTTTACATCATTTACTAGAGAGGATACACTATCCTGCACTGATTTTGTACTTTTCCTATCTTCTTACTAACAAAATTGAGAATTTAATAATATTCCTCAAGATTAAATTTCAGCTTTCTGACCTGGAGTCTTGTACCAATCTGTGTACTGATCAACCTAATATTAGGGTTAGACTGAAATGCTTTTTCATTGAAACATTTGTATATTTGGTTTTATTAATAATTTTTTCTTTTTTTTTTGTCATGCAGATAGTCAAGCTGGGCAATCGTTTATTTCTCATGTCACTACAAAGGTAGGATTATTTTAGCTAGGTATTTATTGTTGTTTCTGCCTAGGCTGGTTTCTTCATGTCAATCCAATCTTGTTCCTAATAGGTGTCGAGGACCCAGCTCCTGTAAGCTTATTTTATTTGGTACAAACCTAGGAATGATTTATCTTTAACATGCTTCTCTTGATGTGCTTAAAGTGTGAACAAAGCATAGATATACTGTTCCTATGCTGAAACTTGATTATTTAAGAATAATG